ACTGCTGTGCTGTGCACCTCTCTACACTCATTGTGGGCGAGAGGGTGTGTCGCCTCTGCTGCTGCTGCTGTTGCTGTTATCTAAAGCGGTGGCGGAAGCGTCCTGTTCAAACAATCAGCAGCAGCAGCAGCATAAGCCGGATAATTTTTCAGCGTTTTTTTTTCCCCCTCTATCTAGCTTCCCCTCTATCTAGCTGATGACGATGGATAGCACCCCCCCTCTGTGATGATAGCACCCCCCCCTCACGGCTGACGATGGATACCACCCCCCTCACGAGCTGATGATGGACACCACCCCGCCCTCTAGCGAATGATGATGGACACCACACATGGTTTTTAATGCGAAGACAACAACAACAACAACAACCACCCCCCTCTCTAGCTGGTGATGATGGACCGCCCCCCGTTCTTCTGTAACAGACGCACGAGCCTACTGCAGGTACTTTTGTGCAACCACCACAAAAAAACTATTCCCCCTCCAACTCTAGTAGAGGGGGAGGGTGGGCATTGACGCACGCGTCGTGCCCCTGGGTGCCCCCGAGAAAAGCGTGATGCGCGGGCGGGGTGAGCTCCCCAAGGCGAGGTCCATTCTCATCATGGACAACTTGCACGCGCAGACCACGGACGAGTTCAAGGAGTATCTTGCGAAGCACTGCAATTCTCTCGCCTGGTATGGCCCTTCGGAGTGCACGGACGAGGTGTAGCCAGTTGATGCAGGAGCCGGATGATTTCTCAAGGTGGAAGTCGGGAGGCAGATGGACATATGGCTCGAGCAGTCGCACAACCTCGAGAGGTGGGAAACCGCGTCGCTGACAGCTTCTGATCGGCGCGTCCTGATCACTCAGTGGATGGGAGCAGCCATGGCAAGACTCAACCGCCAACAGACGTACCGATACCGTATTTTCGAAAAGTGCGGGATGGCGATGACCGTGGACGGCTCGGGCGATGATCGAATCACTTTGGAGGGTTTGGACAAGCCGTATACCTTCGCTAACGATGAAGACAGCAGTAGCGACGACGAACAAGGTTCGGAGAACAGCAACGATGAGCCTGAGGGGCGGGCGGAGGAGGGCGATGGAGGATGTGAGACGCTCATGGAGGGCGTTGACTCCAGCGATGAAGACGACGGCGG